GCCACAGAATTGTTACTTAGGGACAGACACAGAATTGTTACTGAGGGCCACAGAATCGTTACTTAGGGCCACAGAATTGTTACTTAGGGACAGACACAGAATTGTTAGTGAGGGGCACAGATTTGTTACTGAGGGCCACAGAATCGTTACTTAGGGCCACAGAAACGTTACTTAGGGCCACAGAACTGTTACTTAGGGACAGACACAGAATTGTTATTGAGGGACACAGAATTGTTACTGAGGGCCACAGAACCGTTACTTAGGGCCACAGAAACGTTACTTAGGGCCAGAATTGTTACAGAATTGTTACTTAGGGACAGACACAGAATTTGTTACTGAGGGACACAGATTTGTTACTGAGGGCCACAGAATCGTTACTTAGGGCCACAGAATTGTTACTTAGGGACAGACACAGAATTGTTATTGAGGGACACAGAATTGTTACTGAGGGCCACAGAAACGTTACTTAGGGCCACAGAAACGTTACTTAGGGCCACAGAATTGTTACTTAGGGACAGACACAGAATTGTTTATTGAGGGACACAGAATTGTTACTAAGGGCCACAGAAACGTTACTTAGGGCCACAGAAACGTTACTTAGGGCCACAGAATCGTTACTTAGGGCCACAGAAACGTTACTTAGGGCCACAGAAACGTTACTTAGGGACACAGAATTGTTACTCAGGGACAGACACAGAATTGTTACTGAGGGACACAGAATTGTTACTTTACTGAGGGCCACAGAATCGTTACTTAGGGCCACAGAAACGTTACTTAGGGGACACAGAATTGTTACTTAGGGACACAGAATTGTTTACTGAGGGACACAGAATTGTTACTGAGGGCCACAGAAAACGTTACTTAGGGCCACAGAAACGTTACTTAGGGCCACAGAATCGTTACTTAGGGCCACACAGAAACGTTACTTAGGGCCACAGAATTGTTACTTAGGGACAGACACAGAATTGTTACTGAGGGACACAGAATTGTTACTGAGGGCCACAGAACCGTTACTTAGGGCCACAGAAACGTTACTTAGGGCCACAGAAACGTTACTTAGGGACAGACACAGAATTGTTACTGAGGGACACAGATTTGTTACTGAGGGCCACAGAATTGTTACTTAGGGACACAGAAACGTTACTTAGGGCCACAGAATCGTTACTTAGGGCCACAGAAACGTTACTTAGGGCCACAGAGAATTGTTACTTAGGGACAGACACAGAATTGTTACTGAGGGCCACAGAATTGTTACTTAGGGCCACAGAAACGTTACTTAGGGCCACAGAAATGTTACTTAGGGCCACAGAATTGTTACTCAGGGACACAGAACAGAATTCTTACTCAGGGACAGACACAGAATTGTTACTCAGGGACACAGAAGAATTGTTACTGAGGGACACAGAATTGTTGTTACAGAGGGACACAGAATTGTTACTCAGGGACACAGAATTGTTACTGAGGGACACAGAATTGTTACTGAGGGACACAGAATTGTTACTCAGGGACACACACAGAATTGTTACTCAGGGACAGACACAGAATTGTTACTGAGGGACACAGAATTGTTACTGAGGGCCACAGAACTGTTACTTAGGGCCACAGAAACGTTACTCAGGGACACAGAATTGTTACTCAGGGACAGACACAGAATTGTTACTCAGGGACAGACACAGAATTGTTACTGAGGGACACAGAATTGTTACTGGGGGACACAGAATTGTTACTGAGGGACACAGAATTGTTACTGAGGGCCACACAGAAACTGTTACTTAGGGCCACAGAAACGTTACTCAGGGACACAGAATTGTTACTCAGGGACAGACACAGAATTGTTACTCAGGGACAGACACAGAATTGTTACTCAGGGACACAGAATTGTTACTGAGGGACACACAGAATTGTTACTGAGGGCCACAGAATTGTTACTTAGGGCCACAGAAACGTTACTTAGGGCCACAGAAACGTTACTAGGGCCACAGAATTGTTACTTAGGGCACACAGAAACGTTACTTAGGGACACAGAATTGTTACTCAGGGACAGACACAGAATTGTTACTCAGGACAGACACAGAATTGTTACTCAGGGACACAGAATTGTTACTCAGGGACACAGAATTGTTACTGAGGACACAGAATTGTTACTGAGGGACACAGAATTGTTACTCAGGGGACACAGAATTGTTACTGAGGGACACACAGAATTGTTACTGAGGGACACAGAATTGTTACTGAGGGACACAGAATTGTTACTCAGGGACAGACACAGAATTGTTACTCAGGGACAGACACAGAATTGTTACTGAGGGACACAGAATTGTTACTGAGGGCCACAGAATGTTACTTAGGGCCACAGAAATTGTTACTCAGGGACACAGAATTGTTACTCAGGGACACAGAATTGTTACAGGGACACAGAATTGTTACTGAGGGACACAGAATTGTTACTCAGGGACACAGAATTGTTACTGAGGGACACAGAATTGTTACTGAGGGACACAGAATTGTTACTTAGGGCCACAGAATTGTTACTCAGGGACACAGAATTGTTACTCAGGGACAGACACAGAATTGTTACTCAGGGACAGACACAGAATTGTTACTCAGGGACACAGAATTGTTACTGAGGGGGACACAGAATTGTTACTGAGGGACACAGAATTGTTACTTGAGGGACACAGAATTGTTACTGAGGGACACAGAATTGTTACTGAGGGACACAGAATTGTTACTACTGAGGGACACAGAATTGTTACTCAGGGACAGACACAGAATTGTTACTCAGGGACAGACACAGAATTGTTACTGAGAGACACAGAATTGTTACTGAGGGCCACAGAATTGTTACTTAGGACCACAGAAACGTTACTCAGGGACACAGAATTGTTACTCAGGGACAAACACAGAATTGTTACTGAGGGACACAGAACAGAATTGTTACTGAGGGACACAGAATTGTTACTGAGGGACACAGAATTGTTACTGAGGGACACAGAATTGTTACTCTAGGGACACAGAATTGTTACTCAGGGACAGACACAGAATTGTTACTCAGGGACAGACACAGAATTGTTACTCAGGGACACAGAATTGTTACTGAGGGACACAGAATTGTTACTGAGGGACACAGAATCGTTACTGAGGGACACAGAAACGTTACTCAGGGCAGACACAGAATTGTTACTGAGGGCCACAGAAATTGTTACTTAGGGACACAGAAACGTTACTTAGGGACACAGAAGTTACTCAGGGACACAGAATTGTTACTCAGGGACAGACACAGAATTGTTACTCAGGGACACAGAATTGTTACTCAGGGACACAGAATTGTTACTCAGGGACACAGAATTGTTACTCAGGGACACAGAATTGTTACTGAGGGACACAGAATTGTTACTCAGGGACAGACACAGAATTGTTACTGAGGACAGACACAGAATTGTTACTGAGGGACACAGAATTGTTACTGAGGGACACAGAATTGTTACTGAGGGCACACAGAACTGTTACTTAGGGCCACAGAAACGTTACTCAGGGACACAGAATTGTTACTCAGGGACAGACACAGAATTGTTACTCAGGGACCACAGAATCGTTGAATTAAAATAGTATGTCAGACAACACATGCAGAGGAGTGGCAGAGGAGGCAATGTTTTAGGAGCGAGCAGACGTGGCAGCAGAGGAAGGGGTCGAGGGCAGCACTATTCGCAGCCAGAGGCCAGTGCTCCCGGTGTCATCCAGTACAGTGAGGAAGAGCTAACAGAGGGCGGTCAGGAACGGGGGGAGACATCCGCCTCTTCAGCAGCCAGGCAAAGAAGTAGTGGCGAGGAGAGTGGCTCGGTAGCCGGTCTAGAGACAGGTCTGTCTCCTGACCCACACGCAGCCGAGGGGGCTAGTAGTGAGGCGGAGACCCTAATTGATGATGATGAGGCTGATCGCACTTGGCAGCCTCGTCGTCATCAGGCTATTGCTTCCGCATCATCAGGAGAAGAGGGTGGCAGCTTGGCAGCGAGCAAAACAGTCGGTGGGTTGTCTCCATCGCCACACTCTGCCATGTGCCACTTTCAGGTCTCCTCACACACTGCTGGTGTGTTCCATTTTTTGTCATAGGGTGCTGGCAGATTACGGGCCTCCCATAGCTGCTGCCAGGCCCCTAATCTGCCATGGGCCCCTGTACCGCCTCCTCATGCTGCTGCCAGGTCCACAGTGTCTCATGCCATGTGCCACTTTCAGGTCTCCTCACACTGCTGGTGTGTTCCATTTTTTTCATAGGGTGCTGGCAGATTACGGGCCTCCCATAGCTGCTGCCAGGCCCCTAATCTGCCATGGGCCCCTATACCGCCTCCTCATGCTGCTGCCAAGTCCAGAGTCTCTCATGGGTCCCTGTACGGCCCCCCATTGCTGCTGTCTCCATCGCACACACTCTGCCATGTGCCACTTTCAGGTCTCCTCACACACTGCTGGTGTGTTCAATTTTTTTGACATAGGGTGCTGGCAGATTACGGGCCTCCCATAGCTGCTGCCAGGCCCCTAATCTGCCATGGGCCCCTATACCGCCTCCTCATGCTGCTGCGAAGTCCAGAGTCTCTCATGGGTCCCTGTACGGCCTCCCATTGCTGCTGTCTCCATCGCCACACTCTGCCATGTGCCACTTTCAGGTCTCCTCACACACACTGCTGGTGTGTTCCATTTTTTGACATAGGGTGCTGGCAGATTACGGGCCTCCCATAGCTGCTGCCACATCTGCCCCTAATCTGCCATGGGCCCCCATATACCCCGCCTCCTCATGCTGCTGCCAGGTCCAGAGTGTCTCATGGGTCCCTGTACGGCCTCCCATTGCTGCTGTCTCCATCGCCACACTCTGCCATGCCATGTGCCACACTTTCAGGTCTCCACACACTGCTGTGTTCCAATTTTTTGACATAGGGTGCTGGCAGATTACGGGCCTCCCATAGCTGCTGCCAGGCCCCTAATCTGCCATGGGCCCCTATACCGCCTCCTCATGCTGCTGCCAGGTCCAGAGTCTCTCATGGGTCCCTGTACGGCCTCCCATTGCTGCTGTCTCCATCGCCACACTCTGCCATGTGCCACTTTCAGGTCTCCTCACACACTGGCTGCTGGTGTGTTCAATTTTTTGTCATAGGGTGCTGGCAGATTACGGGCCTCCCATAGCTGCTGCCAGGCCCCTAATCTGCCATGGGCCCCTGTACCCCGCCCTCCTCATGCTGCCAGGTCCACAGTCCCATTGCTGCTCTCCCATGCTGTCTCCATCGCCACACTCTGCCATGTGCCACTTTCAGGTCTCCTCACACTGCTGGTGTGTTCCATTTTTTGTCATAGGGTGCTGGCAGATTACGGGCCTCCCATAGCTGCTGCCAGGCCCCTAATCTGCCATGGGCCCCTATACCGCCTCCTCATGCTGCTGCCAAGTCCAGAGTCTCTCATGGGTCCCTGTACGGCCTCCCATTGCTGCTGTCTCCATCGCCACACTCTGCCATGTGCCACTTTCAGGTCTCCTCACACTGCTGGTGTGTTCAATTTTTTTGACATAGGGTGCTGGCAGATTACGGGCCTCCCATAGCTGCTGCCAGGCCCCTAATCTGCCATGGGCCCCTATACCGCCTCCTCATGCTGCTGCCAAGTCCAGAGTCTCTCATGGGTCCCTGTACGGCCTCCCATTGCTGCTGTCTCCATCGCCACACTCTGCCATGTGCCACTTTCAGGTCTCCTCACACACTGCTGGGTGTTTCAATTTTTTGACATAGGGTGCTGGCAGATTACGGGCCTCCCATAGCTGCTGCCAGGCCCCTAATCTGCCATGGGCCCCTATACCCGCCTCCTCATGCTGCTGCCAGGTCCAAGCAAACGTCATGGGTCCCACAGGGGAGGAACTTCCATTGCTGTGTCCACATCGAGAGAAATCGCCATGTGCCACTTTCAGGTCTCCCGCACACTGCTGGTGTGAACCATTTTTGACCATAGGGTGCTGGCAGATTACGGGCCTCCCATAGCTGCTGCCAGGCCCCTAAGGTTGTGCCATGGGCCCCATGCATGCCTCACATGCTTCAATGCCTGGTTGTCAAGCAGTTCCTAAAATCCACCGGCCTCCCACTTGCTGACATCCTTAAAATGTCACGTAAACCTTGCATGCCATTTCAGGCCACACTGCTGGTGTGTTCCAATTTTTTGCACACCCTCCTTGAGCTGCAGCTGGCAGAACGGAATTCCACAGCATCGCCTGATCTGCGACGTTGCAACAAGGTGGAATTCAAACCCTACACATGTAGACCGCCTTTACGAACAGCGAAAGGCCATCACCGATTTCATGATGTTACAAGCGGATAAGGGTCCTCACCCCCTGTGTAACTTCGATGTCAGCCATTGGCAGCTCATGCGTGACACCTGCTGCTTGCTCAGGCCCTTTGAGGGCCCCACGCTATTCAGGTGCTGCTGTCGGCAGGACTATGGGATGAACGACGTCATTCCTCTGTTGCCTCCTGGAACAAATGCTGTTAACAATGGCTGGTCAGGTGCGGTAGACGTGGCGCACAGATCTCAACTCCCACATGACCCCTGTGGGGGGCAGGACAGGAAGAAGAGGAGGAGGTAGAGGAGGACATTTGCTGTGCTCAGGAATTATTGAGTGAAATGTGGTGGTTTTTCCCACTCAGCGGACAGGAGTGGAGGAGCAGGAGCATCTGGTAGATTTGACAGGAGACAGACCCAGACGCACCGTGGCAGTATGCTGTGGAGATGGAGCCCAGGGAGTCCCTCGCATTCCTTGGCACAAATGGCCCATAGCATGCTCGGTTGCTTGCGTAGCGACAGCCGAATAATAACCATCAGACAGAGCTGGATGACTTTTGGCTGTCCACCTTGTTGGGACCCCCCTCGCTACTGTTCAAAAATGGTGGCCATTTTTTTCACACCTGCTGAGAGGGAGGCCAAAATAACGTACTATAAAAACCACCTATGTAGTCAGTTGGTCTCTGCCTTTGTGCGCCAACGTCCATCCATCCTCAGACACTGTGGGCCCTGTGCGCTCGCGTTCCGCTGCCATGGCAGCAGGGGAGGGGTCCTAATCTGTGGTAGGAGCAGTGGCAGCTCCCCACAGCAGCTCTGCATGTGCCACTCAGTCTGCAGTCGATGATGAGTAGCTTTCTTCACCGCAGTGAGGAAACTACTAACCAGCCAGCAGCAGCAGCAGCATCAGGTGGACCTGGAGCAGGACCTCAAACAACAGGCTTGGGCCTACTTGGACAGCACCCTGCCAACCGAGGTAGACAATCCCCTTGACTACTGGGCAACGAAACTTGACCTTTGGCCCCAACTAGCTGAATTTGCCCTTGAAAGGCTGTCATGCCCGGCCAGTAGCGTGGCATCGGTGCTCTGCGCGTGTTTAGTGCGGCAGGAGGTATTGTAACTCCGCGGAGGACACGACTGTCCACCCAAAGTGTGGAGAGAGACTCACGTTTGTGAAAATGAATCAGGCGTGGGCCCCTGGATTTCAAACCACCAGTTCCTGACACAACTGACTAAATCCGCCATGAATCATGCCCCTGCCATGTGCCACTTTCAGGTCTCCTCACACTGCTGGTGTGTTCCATTTTTTGTCATAGGGTGCTGGCAGATTACGGGCCTCCCATAGCTGCTGCCAGGCCCCTAATCTGCCATGGGCCCCTATACCGCCTCCTCATGCTGCTGCCAGGTCCAGAGTCTCTCATGGGTCCCTGTACGGCCTCCCATTGCTGCTGTCTCCATCGCCACACTCTGCCATGTGCCACTTTCAGTCTCCTCACACTGCTGGTGTGTTCCATTTTTTTGACATAGGGTGCTGGCAGCAGATTACGGGCCTCCCATAGCTGCTGCCAGGCCCCTAATCTGCCATGGGCCCCTGTACCGCCTCCTCTCTGCTGCTGCTCATGGGTCCCTGTACGGCCTCCCATTGCTGCTGTCCACATGCCACTCATGCCATGTGCCACTTTCAGGTCTCCTCACACACTGCTGGTGTGTTCCATTTTTTGTCATAGGGTGCTGGCAGATTACGGGCCTCCCATAGCTGCTGCCAGGCCCCTAATCTGCCATGGGCCCCTATATACCGCCTCCTCATGCTGCTGCCAGGTCCAGAGTCTCTCATGGGTCCCTGTACGGCCTCCCATTGCTGCTGTCTCCATCGCCACACTCTGCCATGTGCCACTTTCAGGTCTCCTCACACACTGCTGGTGTGTTCCATTTTTTGTCATAGGGTGCTGGCAGATTACGGGCCTCCCATAGCTGCTGCCAGGCCCCTAATCTGCCATGGGCCCCTGTACCGCCTCCTCATGCTGCTGCCAGGTCCAGAGTCTCTCATGGGTCCCTGTACGGCCTCCCATTGCTGCTGTCTCCATCGCCACACTCTGCCATGTGCCACTTTCAGGTCTCCCACACACTGCTGGTGTGTTCCATTTTTTGTCATAGGGTGCTGGCAGATTACGGGCCTCCCATAGCTGCTGCCAGGCCCCTAATCTGCCATGGGCCCCTGTACCGCCTCCTCATGCTGCTGCCAGGTCCAGAGTCTCTCATGGGTCCCTGTACGGCCTCCCATTGCTGCTGTCTCCATCGCCACACTCTGCCATGTGCCACTTTCAGGTCTCCTCACACACTGCTGGTGTGTTCCATTTTTTGTCATAGGTGCTGGCAGATTACGGGCCTCCCATAGCTGCTGCCAGGCCCCTAATCTGCCATGGGCCCCTGTACCCGCCTCCTCATGCTGCTGCCAGGTCCAGAGTCTCTCATGGGTCCCTGTACGGCCTCCCATGCTGCTGTCCATCGCCACACTCTGCCATGTGCCACTTTCAGGTCTCCTCACACACTGCTGGTGTGTTCCAATTTTTTTGTCATAGGGTGCTGGCAGATTACGGGGCCTCCCATAGCTGCTGCCAGGCCCCTAATCTGCCATGGGCCCCTATACCGCCTCCTCATGCTGCTGCCATGGGTGTCCACAGGTCTCATGCCCTGTGCCACTTTCAGGTCTCCTCACACTGCTGGTGTGTTCCATTTTTTGTCATAGGGTGCTGGCAGATTACGGGCCTCCATAGCTGCTGCCAGGCCCCTAATCTGCCATGGGCCCCCCCTACGGCCTCCCATGCTGCTGCCTGCCATGTGGCCCACACTCTGCCATCGCCACACTCTGCCATGTGCCACTTTCAGGTCTCCTCACACTGCTGGTGTGTTCCATTTTTTGTCATAGGGTGCTGGCAGATTACGGGCCTCCCATTGCTGCTGCCAGGCCCCTAATCTGCCATGGGCCCCTGTACCGCCTCCTCATGCTGCTGCCAGGTCCAGAGTCTCTCATGGGTCCCTGTACGGCCTCCCATTGCTGCTGTCTCCATCGCCACACTCTGCCATGTGCCACTTTCAGGTCTCCTCACACTGCTGGTGTTTCCATTTTTTTGTCATAGGGTGCTGGCAGATTACGGGCCTCCCATAGCTGCTGCCAGGCCCCTAATCTGCCATGGGCCCCTGTACCGCCTCCTCATGCATGCTGCTGCCTGCCAGGTCCACAGTGTGCTCGCCACATGCCATGTGCCACTTTCAGGTCTCCTCACACACTGCTGGTGTGTTCCATTTTTTGTCATAGGGTGCTGGCAGATTACGGGCCTCCCATAGCTGCTGCCAGGCCCCTAATCTGCCATGGGCCCCTATACCGCCGCCTCCTCATGCTGCTGCCAGGTCCAGAGTCTCTCATGGGTCCCTGTACGGCCTCCCATTGCTGCTGCTGTCTCCATCGCCACACTCTGCCATGTGCCACTTTCAGGTCTCCTCACACACACTGCTGGTGTGTTCAATTTTTTTTGACATAGGGTGCTGGCAGATTACGGGCCTCCCATAGCTGCTGCCAGGCCCCTAATCTGCCATGGGCCCCTATACCGCCTCCTCATGCTGCTGCCAGGTCCAGAGTCTCTCATGGGTCCCTGTACGGCCTCCCATTGCTGCTGTCTCCATCGCCACACTCTGCCATGTGCCACTTTCAGGTCTCCTCTCACACTGCTGGTGTGTTCCATTTTTTGTCATAGGGTGCTGGCAGATTACGGGCCTCCCATATAGCTGCTGCCAGGCCCCTAATCTGCCATGGGCCCCTATACCGCCCCTCATACCGCCCTCCTCATGCTGCTGGGTCCCAGGTCCTCCCATTGCTGTCTCATGCCACTCTGCCATGTGCCACTTTCAGGTCTCCTCACACTGCTGGTGTGTTCAATTTTTTGACATAGGGTGCTGGCAGATTACGGGCCTCCCATAGCTGCTGCCAGGCCCCTAATCTGCCATGGGCCCCTATACCGCCTCCTCATGCTGCTGCCAGGTCCAGAGTCTCTCATGGGTCCCTGTACGGCCTCCCATTGCTGCTGTCTCCATCGCCACACTCTGCCATGTGCCACTTTCAGGTCTCCTCACACTGCTGGTGTGTTCCATTTTTTTGTCATAGGGTGCTGGCAGATTACGGGCCTCCCATAGCTGCTGCCAGGCCCCTAATCTGCCATGGGCCCCTGTACCGCCTCCTCATGCTGCAGCCAGGTCCACAGTGTGTACGGCCTCCCATGCCATGTGCCACTTTCAGGTGCCACTTTCAGGTCTCCTCACACACACTGCTGGTGTGTTCAATTTTTTGACATAGGGTGCTGGCAGATTACGGGCCTCCCATAGCTGCTGCCAGGCCCCTAATCTGCCATGGGCCCCATATACCGCCTCCTCATGCTGCTGCCAGGTCCCAGAGTCTCTCATGGGTCCCTGTACGGCCTCCCATTGCTGCTGTCTCCATCGCCACACTCTGCCATGTGCCACTTTCAGGTCTCCTCACACTGCTGGTGTGTTCAATTTTTTGACATAGGGTGCTGGCAGATTACGGGCCTCCCATAGCTGCTGCCAGGCCCCTAATCTGCCATGGGCCCCCTATACCGCCTCCTCATGCTGCTGCCAAGTCCAGAGTCTCTCATGGGTCCCTGTACGCCTCCCATTGCTGCTGTCTCCATCGCCACACTCTGCCATGTGCCACTTTCAGGTCTCCTCACACTGCTGGTGTGTTCCATTTTTTGTCATAGGGTGCTGGCAGATTACGGGCCTCCCATAGCTGCTGCCAGGCCCCTAATCTGCCATGGGCCCCTGTACCCCGCCTCCTCATGCTGCTGCCAGGTCCAGAGCTCAGGTCCCACGGCCTCCCATTGCTGCTGTCTCCATCGCCACACTCTGCCATGTGCCACTTTCAGGTCTCCTCTCACACTGCTGGTGTGTTCAATTTTTTGACATAGGGTGCTGGCAGATTACGGGCCTCCCATAGCTGCTGCCAGGCCCCTAATCTGCCATGGGCCCCTGTACCGCCTCCTCATCATGCTGCTGCCAGGTCCCACATGGGTCCCTGTACGGCCTCCCATTGCTGCTGTCTCCTCATGCCATGTGCCACTTTCAGGTCTCCTCACACTGCTGGTGTGTTCAATTTTTTGACATAGGGTGCTGGCAGATTACGGGCCTCCCATAGCTGCTGCCAGGCCCCTAATCTGCCATGGGCCCCTGTACCGCCTCCTCATGCTGCTGTCCCAGGTCTCTCATGGGTCCCAGCTGTCTCCATGCCATGCCATGTGCCACTTTCAGGTCTCCTCACACACTGCTGGTGTGTTCAATTTTTTGTGACATAGGGTGCTGGCAGATTACGGGCCTCCCATAGCTGCTGCCAGGCCCCTAATCTGCCATGGGCCCCTGTACCGCCTCCCTCATGCTGCTGCCAGGTCCACAGTGTCTCATGCCATGTGCCACTTTCAGGTCTCCTCACACTGCTGGTGTGTTCTCCTCACACACTGCAATTTTTTGACATAGGGTGCTGGCAGATTACGGGCCTCCCATAGCTGCTGCCAGGCCCCTAATCTGCCATGGGCCCCTATACCGCCTCCTCATGCTGCTGCCAAGTCCAGAGTCTCTCATGGGTCCCTGTACGGCCTCCCATTGCTGCTGTCTCCATCGCCACACTCTGCCATGTGCCACTTTCAGGTCTCCTCACACTGCTGTGTGTGTTCCATTTTTTGTCATAGGGTGCTGGCAGATTACGGGCCTCCTGCCAGGCCCCTAATAGCTGCTGCCAGGCCCCTAATCTGCCATGGGCCCCTGTACCGCCTCCTCATGCTGCTGCCAGGTCCACAGTGTCTCATGCCATGTGCCACTTTCAGGTCTCCTCACACTGCTGGTGTGTGTTTCAATTTTTTGACATAGGGTGCTGGCAGATTACGGGCCTCCCATAGCTGCTGCCAGGCCCCTAATCTGCCATGGGCCCCTGTACCGCCTCCTCATGCTGCTGCCAGGTCCACAGTGTCTCATGCCATGTGCCACTTTCAGGTCCTCCTCACACTGCTGGTGTGTTTCAATTTTTTGACATAGGGTGCTGGCAGATTACGGGCCTCCCATAGCTGCTGCCAGCCCCTAATCTGCCATGGGCCCCCTATACCGCCTCCTCATGCTGCTGCCAGGTCCAGAGTCTCTCATGGGTCCCTGTACGCCCTCCCATTGCTGCTGTCTCCACGCCACACTCTGCCATGTGCCACTTTCAGGTCTCCTCACACACTGCTGGTGTGTTCAATTTTTTGACATAGGGTGCTGGCAGATTACGGGCCTCCCATAGCTGCTGCCAGGCCCCTAATCTGCCATGGGCCCCATATGGGCCCCTGCTGCCAGGCCTCCTCATGCTCCCTGCCAGGTCCACTGTCTCATGCCCACTCTGCCATGTGCCACTTTCAGGTCTCCTCACACTGCTGGTGTGTTCCAATTTTTTGACATAGGGTGCTGGCAGATTACGGGCCTCCATAGCTGCTGCCAGGCCCCTAATCTGCCATGGGCCCCTATACCCCCCGCCTCCTCATGCTGCTGCCAGGTCCAGAGTCTCTCATGGGTCCCTGTACGGCCTCCCATTGCTGCTGTCTCCATCGCCACACTCTGCCATGTGCCACTTTCAGGTCTCCTCACACACTGCTGGTGTGTTCCAATTTTTTGACATAGGGTGCTGGCAGATTACGGGCCTCCCATAGCTGCTGCCAGGCCCCTAATCTGCCATGGCCCCCCCTATACCGCCTCCTCATGCTGCTGCCAGGTCCAGAGTCTCTCATGGGTCCCTGTACGGCCTCCCATTGCTGCTGTCTCCATCGCCACACTCTGCCATGTGCCACTTTCAGGTCTCCTCACACTGCTGGTGTGTTCCATTTTTTGTCATAGGGTGCTGGCAGATTACGGGCCTCCCATAGCTGCTGCCAGCCCCTAATCTGCCATGGGCCCCTGTACCGCCTCCTCATGCTGCTGCCAGGTCCACATGGGTCCCTGTCTCCCATGTCTCCATGTGCCACACTTGCCATGTGCCACTTTCAGGTCTCCTCACACTGCTGGTGTGTTGAATTTTTTGACATAGGGTGCTGGCAGATTACGGGCCTCCCATAGCTGCTGCCAGGCCCCTAATCTGCCATGGGCCCCTGTACCACCTCCTCATGCTGCTGCCAGGTCCAGAGTCTCTCATGGGTCCCTGTACGGGCCTCCCATTGCTGCTGTCTCCATCGCCACACTCTGCCATGTGCCACTTTCAGGTCTCCTCACACTGCTGGTGTGTTCCATTTTTTTGTCATAGGGTACTGGCAGATTACGGGCCTCCTATATAGCTCCTCATGCTGCTGCCAGGCCCCTAATCTGCCATGGGCCCCTGTACCGCCTCCTCATGCTGCTGCCAGGTCCACAGTGTCTCATGCCATGTGCCACTTTCAGGTCTCCTCACACTGCTGGTGTGTTCATTTTTTTTGACATAGGGTGCTGGCAGATTACGGGCCTCCCATAGCTGCTGCCAGGCCCCTAATCTGCCATGGGCCCCCTATACCGCCTCCTCATGCTGCTGCCAAGTCCAGAGTCTGTCATGGGTCCCTGTACGGCCTCCCATTGCTGCTGTCTCCATCGCCACACTCTGCCATGTGTGTGCCACTTTCAGGTCTCCTCACACTGCTGGTGTGTTCCATTTTTTGTCATAGGGTGCTGGCAGATTACGGGCCTCCATAGCTGCTGCCAGGCCCCTAATCTGCCATGGGCCCCTGTACCGCCTCCTCATGCTGCTGCCAGGTCCAAGTCCACATGGGTCCCTGTGTCTCATGCCATGTGCCACTTTCAGGTCTCCTCACACTGCTGGTGTGTTCAATTTTTTGACATAGGGTGCTGGCAGATTACGGGCCTCCCATAGCTGCTGCCAGGCCCCTAATCTGCCATGGGCCCCTGTATACCGCCTCCTCATGCTGCTGCCAGGTCCACAGTGTCTCATGCCATGTGCCACTTTCAGGTCTCCTCACACTGCTGGTGTGTTCAATTTTTTGCCATAGGGTGCTGGCAGATTACGGGCCTCCTCATAGCTGCTGCCAGGCCCTAATTTTTGCCATAGGGGCCCCTATACCGCCTCCTCATGCTGCTGCCTAAGGTCCACCGCCTCCTCTGCTGCTGCAGGTGTCTCTCATGGGTCCCTGTACGGCCTCCCATTGCTGCTGTCTCCATCGCCACACTCTGCCATGTGCCACTTTCAGGTCTCCTCACACTGCTGGTGTGTTCAATTTTTTGACATAGGGTGCTGGCAGATTACGGGCCTCCCATAGCTGCTGCCAGGCCCCTAATCTGCCATGGGCCCCTGTACCGCCTCCTGCCATGCTGCTGCCAGGTCCACAGTGTCTCTCATGCCATGTGCCACTTTCAGGTCTCCTCACACTGCTGGTGTGTTCAATTTTTTTGACATAGGGTGCTGGCAGATTACGGGCCTCCCATAGCTGCTGCCAGGCCCCTAATCTGCCATGGGCCCCTGTACCGCCTCCTCATGCTGCTGCTGCCAGGTCCCACAGTGTCTCATGCCATGTGCCACTTTCAGGTCTCCTCACACTGCTGTGTGTGTTCAATTTTTTGACATAGGGTGCTGGCAGATTACGGGCCTCCCATAGCTGCTGCCAGGCCCCTAATCTGCCATGGGCCCCTATACCGCCTCCTCATGCTGCTGCCAGGTCCAGAGTCTCTCATGGGTCCCTGTACGGCCTCCCATTGCTGCTGTCTCCATCGCCACACTCTGCCATGTGCCACTTTCAGGTCTCCTCTCACACACTGCTGGTGTGTGTTCATTTTTTTGACATAGGGTGCTGGCAGATTACGGGCCTCCCATAGCTGCTGCCAGGCCCCTAATCTGCCATGGGCCCCTATACCGCCTCCTCATGCTGCTGTCTCCATGGGTCCCTGTACGGCCTCCCAGTGCTGTCTCCATGCCATGTGCCACTTTCAGGTCTCCTCACACTGCTGGTGTGTTGAATTTTTTGACATAGGGTGCTGGCAGATTACGGGCCTCCCATAGCTGCTGCCAGGCCCCTAATCTGCCATGGGCCCCTGTACCGCCTCCTCATGCTGCTGCCAGGTCCAGTCTGTCATGGGTCCCTGTCTCCCATGCTGCTGTCTCCATCGCCACACTCTGCCACTGCCACTTTCAGGTCTCCTCACACACTGCTGGTGTGTTCAATTTTTTGACATAGGGTGCTGGCAGATTACGGGCCTCCTATAGCTGCTGCCAGGCCCCTAATCTGCCATGGGCCCCTATACCGCCTCCTCATGCTGCTGCCAGGTCCAGAGTCTCTCATGGGTCCCTGTACGGCCTCCCATTGCTGCTGTCTCCATCGCCACACTCTGCCATGTGCCACTTTCAGGTCTCCTCACACACTGCTGGTGTGTTCAATTTTTTGACATAGGGTGCTGGCAGATTACGGGCCTCCCATAGCTGCTGCCAGGCCCCTAATCTGCCATGGGCCCCTGTACCGCCTCCTCATGCTGCTGCCAGGTCCAGAGGTCCACATTGTGTCTCATGCCATGTGCCATGTGCCACTTTCAGGTCTCCTCACACTGCTGGTGTGTTGAATTTTTTGACATAGGGTGCTGGCAGATTACGGGCCTCCCTATAGCTGCTGCCAGGCCCCTAATCTGCCATGGGCCCCTATACCGCCTCCTCATGCTGCTGCCAGGTCCAGAGTCTCTCATGGGTCCCTGTACGGCCTCCCATTGCTGCTGTCTCCATCGCCACACTCTGCCATGTGCCACTTTCAGGTCTCCTCACACACTGCTGGTGTGTTCAATTTTTTGACATAGGGTGCTGGCAGATTACGGGCCTCCCATAGCTGCTGCCAGGCCCCTAATCTGCCATGGGCCCCCTATACCGCCTCCTCATGCTGCTGCCAGGTCCAGAGTCTCTCATGGGTCCCTGTACGGCCTCCCATTGCTGCTGTCTCCATCGCCACACTCTGCCATGTGCCACTTTCAGGTCTCCTCACACTGCTGGTGTGTTCCATTTTTTGTCATAGGGTGCTGGCAGATTACGGGCCTCCCATAGCTGCTGCCAGGCCCCTAATCTGCCATGGGCCCCTATACCGCCTCCTCATGCTGCTCCAGGTCTCAGTCCCTCACGGCCTCCCATGTGCCACTTTCATGTGCCACTTTCAGGTCTCCTCACACTGCTGGTGTGTTCAATTTTTTGACATAGGGTTCTGGCAGATTACGGGCCTCCTATAGCTGCTGCCAGGCCCCTAATCTGCCATGGGCCCCTATACCGCCTCCTCATGCTGCTGCCAGGTCCAGAGTCTCTCATGGGTCCCTGTACGGCCTCCCATTGCTGCTGTCTCCATCGCCACACTCTGCCATGTGCCACTTTCAGGTCTCCTCACACACTGCTGATGTGTTGAATTTTTTGACATAGGGTGCTGGCAGATTACGGGCCTCCCATTGCTGCTGCCAGGCCCGTAATCTGCCATGGGCCCCCGTACCGACTCCTCATGCTGTGACGTTGCAACAAGGTGGAATTCAACCCTACATATGTTAGACCGCCTTTACGAACAGCAAAAGGCCATCACAGATTTCCTGATGTTAAAAGCGGATAAAGGTACTCCCTGTGTAACTTAGATGTCAGCCATTGGCAGCTCATGCGTGACACCTGCGCTTGCTCAGGCCCTTTGAGGAGGCCACGCTATTCGTGAGTCGGCAGGACTATGGGATGAACGACGTCATTCCTCTGTTGCACGTCCTGGAACAAATGCTGTTAACAATGGCTGGTCAGGGTGCGGTAGACGTGGCGCACAGATCTCAACGCCACATGACCCCTGTGGGGGCAGGACAGGAAGAAGAGGAGGAGGTAGAGGAGGACATTGGTGCTCAGGAATTATTGAGTGAAATGGGTGGTTTTTCCACTCAGCGGACAGGAGTGGAGGAGCAGGAGCATCTGGTAGAGGAGGAGGAAGAGGAGACAGAGGACCCAGACGCACCGTGGCAGTATGCTGTGGAGATGGAGGCAGGGAGTCCCTCGCATTCCTTGGCACAAATGCCCATAGCATGCTCGCTTGCTTGCGTACCGACAGCCGAAATAATAACCATCAGACAGAGGGATGACTTTTGGCTGTCCACCTTGTTGGACCCTCGCTACCGTTCAAAAATGGTGGCCTTTTTCACACCTGCTGAGAGGGAGGCCAAAATAACGTACTATAAAAACCACCTATGTAGTCAGCTGGTCTCTGCCTGTCTGCGCCAACGTCCATCCTCAGACACTGTGGGCCCTGTGCGCTCGCGTTCTGCTGCCATGGCAGCAGGGGAGGGGTGGGGTGGTAGGAGCAGTGGCAGCTCCACCAGCAGCAGCTGCCTCAGTCTGCAGTCGATGATGAGTAGCTTTCTTCACCAGCGCAGTGAGGAAACTAACTAACCAGCCGCAGCAGCAGCAGCAGCAGCATCAGGTGGACCTGGAGCAGGACCTCAAACAACAGGCTTAGGCCTACTTGGACAGCACCCTGCCAACCGAGGTAGACAATCCCCTTGACTACTGGGCAACGAAACTTGACCTTTGGCCCCAACTAGCTGAATTTGCCCTTGAAAGGCTGTCATGCCCGGCCAGTAGCGTGGCATCGGAGCGCGTGTTTAGTGCGGCAGGAGGTATTGCAACTCCGCGGAGGACAAGACTGTCCACCCAAAGTGTGGAGAGACTCACGTTTGTGAAAATGAATCAGGCGTGGGATTAGTCTGGATTTCAAACCACCAGTTCCTGACACAACTGACTAAATCCGCCATGAATCATGCCCCTGCCATGTGCCACTTTCAGGTCTCCTCACACTGCTGGTGTGTTCCATTTTTTGTCATAGGGTGCTGGCAGATTACGGGCCTCCCATAGCTGCTGCCAGGCCCCTAATCTGCCATGGGCCCCTGTACCGCCTCCTCATGCTGCTGCCAGATCCAGAGTCTCTCATGGGTCCCTGTACGGCCTCCCATTGCTGCTGTCTCCATCGCCACACTCTGCCATGTGCCACTTTCAGGTCTCCTCACACTGCTGGTGTGTTCCATTTTGTCATAGGGTGCTGGCAGATTACGGGCCTCCCATTGCTGCTGCCAGGCCCGTAATCTGCCATGGGCCCCTGTACCGCCTCCTAATGCTGCTGCCAGGTCCAGAGTCTCTCATGGGTCCCTGTACGGCCTCCCATTGCTGCTGTCTCCATCGCCACACTCTGCCATGTGCCACTTTCAGGTCTCCTCACACTGCTGGTGGGTTCCATTTTTTGTCATAGGGTGCTGGCAGATTACGGGCCTCCCATAGCTGCTGCCAGGCCCCTAATCTGCCATGGGCCCCCGTACCGACTCCTCATGCTGCTGCCAGGCCCGTAATCTGTCATGGGCCCCTGTTGTCGCTTGTTGGCATATTCCGCTCGTTCAGATGCTCCTTCTCCTGCTACTCCTCTTCACGGATTCCGTCAGCAGTCTTTCTTGGAATCCGTTTCCAAGAGACAACAGTTTGCGAGCACGCACCCGACGGTGCAGAAGCTGAACGTCCTCCTGTCCAAGTTGCTGCTGCCAGGCTCGTAATCTGTCATGCGCCCCTGTACCGACTCCTCATGCTGCTGCCAGGTCCAGAGTGTGTCATGGGTCCCTGTACGGCCTCCCATTGCTGCTGCCAGGCCCGTAATCTGCCATGGGCCCCCATACCAACTCCTCATGCTGCTGCCAGGCCCGTAATCTGTCATGGGCCCCTGTACCGCCTCCTCATGCTGCTGCCAGCTCCAGAGTGTGTCATGGGTCCCTGTACGGCCTCCCATTGCTGCTGTCTCCATCGCCACACTCTGCCATGTGCCACTTTCAGGTCTCCTCACACTGCTGGTGGTTTCCATTTTTGTCATAGGGTGCTGTATGGCCTCCCATTGCTGCTGCCTCCACCGCCACACTGTGGCTCCACACTCTGGTTTTGGCCCCGTGACTGCCCAAATGAGTGAAGTGTGCGGTGATTCTAAGATCGACGGCACTCATCTGCATGTCATACTGACTGTCAGTATTATTTCTCTTCCCCAGCAGACTCCAAGGGCATTTAAATTAAAGGTACAGTGTTCTGCACTAATATAAAGTCTCTCTGAAGCCTAGAAACACTCTTTTATAAGTTAAATTCGCAGCGAATATATTCGACTCGAATCAAAATTTTTCCACGAATTCGCCGAATCAGTCGAATCGAATTTTTGAATACTTCGCTCATCT